GGGGTACCACTGTTTGGGAGCGTAAGCTCCCCTGCTGTAACTCCTTTAAAGCTTTCTCAGAGGAGTTAAAAACTGTGTTTGACCGAGCGGTCTCTGGCAGAGAGGCGGCTCGTAAGCTCGCTGAACTCAGACAGAATAAGTTGAGTGTTGCTGAATATTCCATTGACTTTCGTACTCTGGCGGCCGAATGTAAATGGAATGCCGAAGCTCAGTGGGACATGTTTTTGCACGGACTAGCAGATTATATTAAAGATGAAATCTACGTCATGGATCTGCCTAAGACACTGGATGGGCTTATTGATTTAGCCATCAGAGTGGACACTCGGTTACAACAGAGAGGTTCCCACAAGAAATTGCACACTCCACCTCTTCCCACGCAATCTTTTTTCGCTGCATCTTCTGAACCCCCCTCATCTGATCTCGAGCCGGAACCCATGCAGATGGGCAGATTTCGGCTTTCCACGGAGGAGAGGCGTCGTCGCCGCATGGAAGGACTATGCATGTACTGTGGAGTCGCTGGACATTTTGTGGCTTCGTGTCTAGCCAAGAATAAGAATTCGTCGCCGGGTAAGAGTTTACTGGCTGGTGAAATCACCCTTGACAAGTCCCCTAACACAACCATGCTGCCAGTCAATCTATCTTTTAACTCTATCATGCACCACTGTCATGCGCTCATCGACTCCGGAGCCGAGGGGAATTTTATTGACTCTAAGCTGGCGTACAGTTTGAAAATCCCTGTTGTTCCCCTTTCTCTTCCTATCGCAGTGCACGCTCTTAGCGGTCTTTCTCTCCCCACCATCACACACTCCACTGCTCCTATAAGACTCATTACTTCTGGTAACCATTCCGAAACTATTGAGTTTTTTTTAACAGAGACTATTGCCACTCCTGTGATCTTGGGACATCCCTGGTTGGTTTTGCACAAACCTCACATTAATTGGGGACATAATACTGTGCTTTCTTGGAGTGAGAGCTGTCATAAATCTTGTCTAGTGTCTGCTTGTTCTGCTGTTTCTCGTTCTGTGTTTCAGGAGGAGCAGATGGATCTGTCAAACGTGCCCCGTGAGTACCATGACCTGAAGAGAGTGTTCAGTAAGTCCCGGGCTGCTTCTTTGCCTCCTCATCGTCCCTATGACTGTGCAATAGACTTATTGCCAGGTACGTCTCCGCCTAAAGGCAAATTATACTCGCTTTCTGCTCCAGAGAGGGAGGCCATGGAGAAATATATTTCTGATTCTCTAGCAGCCAAGATCATTCGCCCCTCTTCTTCACCGGCGGGGGCGGGATTTTTTTTTGTAAAAAAGAAGGATGGTTCCCTTCGCCCGTGCATTGATTATCGAGGGCTGAACAACATAACGGTCAAGAATACATACCCTTTGCCGTTGATGTCTTCAGCCTTTGAACGTCTGCAGGGGGCGAACTTTTTTACAAAATTAGATCTCCGCAATGCTTATCATTTGGTTCGCATAAGAGCGGGGGATGAGTGGAAATCAGCGTTTAACACCCCCAGAGGGCATTTTGAGTACTGCGTTCTGCCCTTCGGCCTTTCCAACGCTCCGGCTGTTTTCCAAGCATTCGTCAATGACGTGCTGAGAGATATGATAGATCAGTTCATTTATGTTTACCTGGATGACATACTGATATTTTCCCATTCTCTCCAGGAACATGTTCAGCACGTCAGGCGAGTGCTTCAGAGGCTGTTAGAGAATGGTCTTTATGTCAAGGCGGAGAAATGCGTTTTTCATGCACAGTCTGTTCCCTTTCTAGGGCATATCGTGTCAGTCGAGGGGTTGCGCATGGATCCAGAGAAGATTAAGGCTGTGGTAAATTGGCCAACTCCTGATTCCCGTAAGGCCCTGCAGAGGTTTCTGGGCTTTGCCAATTTCTACCGGCGATTTATTCGCAATTTCAGCCAGCTCGCCGCACCTCTGACCGCCTTGACCTCCTCCAAAACGCCGTTCAGGTGGTCCAGCGCAGCCGAAGCTGCGTTCTCAAAACTGAAAGGCTGCTTTGTTTCAGCTCCAATCCTGATAACCCCTGATCCCTCCCGGCAGTTTGTGGTGGAGGTCGACGCGTCAGAGGTCGGGGTCGGAGCTATCCTGTCCCAGCGCTCCTCCTCGGATGGCAAGATCCACCCGTGCGCGTATTATTCTCATCGGTTATCAGCCGCAGAAAGTAATTACGACATTGGTAATCGAGAGCTGTTGGCCGTCAAGCTTGCTTTGGAGGAGTGGCGTCATTGGTTAGAGGGGTCGGGGGTCCCTTTTATCGTCTGGACCGATCATAAGAATCTTGAGTACATCAAATCCGCCAAAAGATTAAACTCTAGGCAGGCTCGGTGGGCGTTATTTTTCGGACGGTTCAATTTCACCATCTCATATAGACCGGGATCTAAGAACATTAAGCCCGACGCGTTATCCCGTCTTTTTGATTCTTCGGAGCGTACATCGTCACTCGAACCCGTAGTGCCTAAGCGGATTGTTATTTCTAACATCACATGGGAGATAGAGTCGAAGGTTCGCGCAGCCTTAGATGGGGTAACGCCCCCGATTGGATGCCCACCGAGTCGGTTATTCGTGCCAGAGAAACTTCGGTCAGATGTTATTCGATGGGGTCATTCCTCCAAAGTAGCCTGTCATCCTGGGGTGAGTCGCACATCATTTGTTATTAAACAACGATTCTGGTGGCCAGCATTGGCTCGTGATGTGCGTGATTTTGTATTGGCTTGCTCTGTGTGTGCTGTTTCCAAGACTTCCAATCGGCCACCCGCGGGACTCCTTCAGCCGCTGTCAGTACCTTCGAGACCCTGGTCCCACATCTCGCTAGATTTCGTTACGGGGCTGCCTCCCTCCAACGGCAACACGGTGATTTTAACCGTAGTGGACCGGTTCTCGAAGGCTGCTCATTTCGTCCCTCTGCCCAAATTACCGTCAGCCAGAGAGACAGCGGTTGCTGTCATTAATCACGTCTTTCGCATTCATGGCCTCCCGACGGACGTGGTTTCTGACAGGGGGCCTCAGTTTATCTCTAAATTTTGGAGGGAATTCTGTCGTTTATTGGGGGCTACTGTGAGTCTTTCGTCTGGCTTTCATCCCCAGAGTAACGGTCAGACCGAGAGAGCCAATCAGGATCTTGAGCGCACATTGCGATGTTTGGTCTCACAGAATCCCTCCTCCTGGAGTCAGCAGCTTTCGTGGGTGGAGTACGCACATAATTCGTTACCAGTGTCGGCCACGGGCCTTTCTCCGTTTCAGTGTAGTCTAGGTTACCAGCCACCAGTTTTTCCCAGTCTGGAATCTGAAGTCGCGGTCCCCTCCGTTCACGCCTTTGTCCAGAGGTGCCGCCGCACTTGGAGCAGGGCCAGACAGACCCTCCTCCAAGTGGGTGTGCGCACCAAGGCTAAAGCCGATCGCCACCGGTCTAAGCCTCCCGTTTACGTTGTCGGTCAAAAAGTGTGGCTTTCAACTAAGAATATTCCGCTCCGCACCGTTTGTAATAAGCTAGCTCCTAAATTTATTGGCCCATTTATTGTCACTAAAATCATTAGTCCTGTGGCAATCCGCCTCAAATTACCTCCAGCGTACAGGAGAATTCATCCCGTGTTCCATGTATCTAAAGTAAAGCCCGTTTTTCATACGGCAATTAATCCGCACACACCAGTTCCCCCCCCGCCGCGTCTCGTAGATGGGGAGACTGCTTATTCGGTTAAGCGCATTCTGGACTCTAGACGGAGGGGACGAGGATTCCAGTACTTGGTGGACTGGGAGGGTTACGGTCCTGAGCACAGAAGTTGGGTTCCGGCCGGGGACATACTGGATCACTCTCTTATCGATGATTACAATCGCCAGGTATGCTCGTCTGGGAACGCCAGGAGGCGTTCCTAGGAGAGAGGGTATTGTCACGATTGTGGATCTGTCTGTTCTTCTATGATGTGTCTGCGTGTGTGTATGTGTGTGTGTGTACGGTGTGGTGCGTTATGCGTTTACGTATATGCGTGTATGAGTGTGTGTGTTGGGTGTCTCTGTGTCTGTGTTAGAGTCGCGTTGCTGTCAGTTGTGTTTACCTTATCAGCTGGGTGGTCACGTGTACGCTGTCACCAGCCTTGCCGTGCGCAGCACCGCTCAGCTGTAATCAGTGGACCACAGGTGCAGCGCATTACCGCGCCTATATATGTTCAGCGTTTCTGTCTCACAGTGTCAGTTCGTTTTCTTCACGTCTGTTTGTCTGTGTCCTGTCAGGTTCCGGTCGCTGAGTTCTGGTCGTGTGTCGCGGGGAGAGCTCTGTGTTTGGACTCTTGTACCTTTCTGTTGGCGGCTCTCTGATCTTGTTCTTCAGTGCTCCCTGTTCGATTTATATTTCCTGCTGCTCGCTTGACTCACTCATCATCTTCCTGCGTTCTTCCTTCTGTCATTCTGTCTGAGTCAATAAATAATTATTTTACTTGCAATTGGGTCTCCCTGTATTCCGTGACACTTTATTAATCAGGGGTCACCACAGTGGAATGAACCATCAACTTAACCAGCATATGTTTTATGCAGCTGATGTCCTTCCAGCTGCAACCCATCACTGAGAAACACCCAAACACACTCATTCACACACATACACTACGGACAATTTAGTTCATCAATTCCCCTATAGCGCATGTGTTTGGACTCTTGGGGGAAACCAGAACACCCAGAGGAATCCCACGCCAACATGGGGAGAACATGCAAACTCCACACAGAAATGCTAACTGACCCAGCTGAGGCTCGAACCAGCAACCTTCTTACTGTGAGGCGATCATGCTACCCACTGCACCACCAATAACAAATATTATAACAAAAAAAAAACGTACTGTCCAAGACTCATGGCAGACGAGGACATAAGGAGCGACATTTCTATGTCACTTGAAGTCAAGGTTAAATTAGGTCCCCACCAATATCAAAAGCATATTCACATGCTAAGACCACACAAGTAATGAGTGTGTGCGTGAGGAAAGCAATCTCCTCCATGTGGTTTACCTCTATATTCCTGCGCGCCTCGGCTATGGGCAGGGCTTGGTGTCCGAGGTGCTCCTCTGTGACGCAGGCTGGGCAGAGGCAGCACATGCAGCAGTAGAGCTCCAGCGGGCTGCGGTGAGCTTCACAGGTCCGCCTCTCAATGTCCCGCAGAGGATCCACCAACCTGTGGCTCTGGAACTTGGCATTCTCCAGATGTGGCCTCAGGTGAGACTCGCAGTACGACACCAGACAGGTGAGGCAAGACTTTTTAGCTCGGCACGGCTTATCGATGCAGGAGTCACAGGTGACCACATCTGGCCCCAAAACCTCCTCCTCCTCCTCCTCATCATCTTCATCATCTTTCTGAGGATCTTTAGACTCCTGGAGAAAGAGGTAAAGATGATTAAGCACTCGCATATTCAGACTTTCTTCTTAATAATATAGTTTCAGAAAAGTATTGCAAACAGGGAAATCATATTAGCAGCCAAGATCAGTACAACATTGTTTATAGTGAGTTAAGCAGAGCTAATAGGGATGTAACGGTATTGTAAATACCGTCATACCGCAATATTAATTTTTTTCGATATTACCGAAGTCGCATGACTCGGTAAAACTATAGGTCTTCTGAGAAAATTTGCTCAGGCGAATGAAGCGAACGGGAGGTAGCGAAAACTACAATTCCCATCAGCCCATGCTTGACCATCATCCCTTGCGGTCTGTTGTCGCTACAGATACAGTAATGCGGAAATGGGGTGTGCTGCTAGAAGCGGGGATGAAAAAGAGCTGGAAAACTCTAAAGCGGCTGTTGTCGCCGCGCGCGTTCTGAATAGCGGTGTTGTCGCGCGAGTTCTTATCAGCGGTGTTGTCGCGTGCGTACTGAATAGCGGTGTTGTCGCGCGAGTTCTTATCAGCTGTGTTGTCGCGCGCGTACTGAATAGCGGTGTTGTCGCGCGAGTTCTTATCAGCTGTGTTGTCGCGCGCGTACTGAATAGCGGTGTTGTCGCGCGAGTTCTTATCAGCTGTGTTGTCGCGCGCGTACTGAATAGCGGTGTTGTCGCGCGAGTTCTTATCAGCTGTGTTGTCGCGCGCGTACTGAATAGCGGTGTTGTCGCGCGAGTTCTTATCAGCTGTGTTGTCGCGCGCGTACTGAATAGCGGTGTTGTCGCGCGAGTTCTTATCAGCTGTGTTGTCGCGCGCGTACTGAATAGCGGTGTTGTCGCGCGAGTTCTTATCAGCTGTGTTGTCGCGCGCGTACTGAATAGCGGTGTTGTCAGCACACTGTTCAGATTGATGCAGACATGAGATCTCTATCTTACTCATGGTTTGTCCTCTCAAGTGGGGGAAAGACAATGCACAACATTACCCACTGCTGTCAACCTGGGTCAAGTCATATCTCTCTTGACCCAGAAACCTCAGTCCCAAATGAGAGGGGTTTTTTCTGTTGCAGGGGACATTGTAAATGCCCAGAGATACCAGCTTTTACCAGATTATATTTATATGATAATTTTCCTTTAAACCCATCTCTATCTAAGTGAGTGAGTGATTAAATGTTGAATGTGATGAGTTTTCAACACTACTAAATTGAAACTTAATTTTTTTTACATGGTTTAATATTTTTTTGTTATTAAAATTGAACTTCCTGTTTCAAAGCTTACAGATAGATGGCTAATTTGTATGTCATTGACACTTTTGGCACTTTTTTGGAGTATTTTCATAAGTTTTGTTTTTTCCTGTAAATGATTCAATAAATACCGTACCGTGACATTCATACCGAGGTGTTACCGTACCGTGAAATTCTGATACCGTTACATCCCTAAGTGCTAATGTCATTCATTCATTCATTTTCTTGTCGGCTTATTCCCTTTATTAACCCAGGGTTGCCACAGCGGAATGAACCGCCAACTTATCCAGCAAGTTTTTTTTGCGCAGCGGATGCCCTTCCAGCCGCAACCCATCTCTGGGAAACATCCACACACACATTCACACACTACGTACAATTTAGCCTACCCAATTCACCTGTACAGCATGTCTATGGACTGTAGGGGAAACCCGAGCACCCGGAGGAAACCCAAGCGAATGCAGGGAGAACATGCAAACTCCACACAGAAACGCCAACTGAGTCGAGACTCGAACCAGCGACCTTCTTGCTGTGGGGCAACAGCACTACCTACTGTGCCACTGCCTCGCCCCAGTGCTAATGTTTTATATACAAATAATATATACGCATGTATTCAGATTATACAAAGTAGTGTGGTAAACATTATAGGCAGAGTGTCACTGAAGTTGTCATTGAACAAATGAGTAAATGACACTATATTTACCTCAATATTGAGGTAAAATTGGTTTATATTCGCACGTTCAGATCTTAAAGGTTCAGGACACCCTGGAGAACTTTTTGTGTGTTGAGCATCAGTTAAGACAATGTTAGCAGCTGTCAGCTGTAATTGTGGGGAAAACTGGATAATTTGGAGCTTTTGTCAGCAAATTTTAGCTTCCGGGTTTAAAATTATTTTTGAGGCGGGATCAAAATCGGCGACGTAGCGCAGTACTGCAAGTGCAATGATGACGCGTCGGTTTCTCATTATTATTCATAGCGGGGTTTCTTATCCTATGAGAAGAGCCGGCTGCTTAATTATTCATGAGACCTGCCAGAGTCAAGCCCGAGCTGTGAGACACGTCACAGACCCACGGCAAGGGCACACAGTATTTAGCCGTTCATGAAGGCTCACATGCGTTTGTTTCCATGATCCACAGGGTTTGTTGCATGTTTTCCCCCGCGATCTTGTCAGGGCCGATCATACAGCAAAGCTGTGTGTGCTGCTAGCATTTTTGTCGGGAGAGCAGCACGAGAATTAGAGAATGGCGGACGCTGTCTTTTATCAGGAGTTCATTCACATTCAGACACATCACTGTGCTGCTGTGTTTGCCTATATCCTCCAGATTACCAGCAGGACTAATGGTTAAAATAGGCAGGTCAGGAGACCTGCTGCAGTCTGCTGGATACGGGGATTGAGGGAGAAGTCCTCATTTATAGGGTTTACATGAACACACTTATCTTTACAATGATATAAATTGTGGTTATGTGTATATGAAATTACGAATAACAAATGTAGCAGGGCATTAAATCACTGTTCATTTCTTTGCATTTTAACTTTGTGAACTATAAACTCATGCGTCTCCTCACGGTTTGTCTCATTTTGTGAGCTAGCTTCGTTCGCTCACGTTCTCCCCTGCTGGCCACGCCCACCCCTGCCCGATGCTCGCGGAGCTCCACGACCATTAATCATGCATCTTTTGAAAAAATCTTGGAGTAGACTTTAACCGAAAGTGGGGGGTGTCATGACCCTTTAATATTCATTCCTTAATAATATAGCTTCAGAAAAGTGTTGAACATATCTTATTAGAAGCCAATAAATATAGTTCACAGGTGTCAAACTCAATTCCAAAAGGGCCGCAGCTCTGCACAGTTTAGTTCCAACCCTAATTAAACACACCTGATCAAACTAATTGAGTCCTTCAGGCTTGTTTGAAACCTACAGGTAGGTGTGTTGGAGCAGGGTTGGAACTAAACTGTGCAGGGCTTCGGCCCTCCAGGAATTGAGTTTGACACCCCTAATATAGTAGAACATTATTTACAGTCAATTAAATAGTGTGAATATTCAAAGTAGTGTGGTAAACAATATAGGAAGCGTGTCACAAGTTGTCACTAAATGAATGTGTGAAAATTAAACCAATTTTACCTCAATATTGAGGTACAGTTGGTCTTCTATTCGCACATTCAGACTTTCTCCTTTTAGAAAAGTATTCTTTGCCAATCCCAAATAGGGAAATCATATTAGCAGTCAAACACTATCAAAGTCCAACATTGTTCATGGGCAGTTAAATAGTGCTAATGCTGTGTTAAAGTTATTCTTGCATGAGATTTCAGTCTGAATATTGAATGTAGCATGGTAAAAAACGCAAAAACTGTGTCAAGTTATTACTGAATGTGGAATAGCGAATTATGGAACCAACTTTACCCTAATATTGAGGTAAAGTTGTTTTTATATTTGTTGAGTTGTACTTTCTCTTCAATAACAGTTTCAGAAAATTATTCTTTGCATATTCAAAATAGGGAAATCATATTAGCAGCCAATGACTATTAAAGTACAACATTCTTCACAGTCAGTTTAATAGTGCTGATGTTGTTCTGAAGTCATTCTTACATTAGATTTTAGACCAAATATTCATAGAGGGATAAATATTATAGGGAGCAACCCCAAACTCACACACAATAATAATCGGCTACTTTAAATTTTAATAATACTGTCTTCACTTGAAAAATAGTCTTTGCTGCTTGTTTAAACTTCTTATTTAAAATGAGCTCAATCAACACATTTCTTGAGTTTTTTTTTGAGACAACTTAATTGTTTTGAGTTAAATCCACTTTAATTTGTAAAAACAATCCAAAGTTTGTGTTGGAACAACATGAAGGAATTGTGTGGGACCCACGACTCATTATTTTTTGCAGTGTTGCTAAAAACTTTTTACATATACTCAAGTACCTTTAGCATTAGAAAACAAACCTTGACTTTAGTCAAAGACAAAAAGTGCACACTAATTAAACATCGATGAAATGTTGCGGTAAAGTTGAGTTAAAGTTGATTATATACACTCGCATATTCAGACTTTCTCCTTAATAATAGTTTCAGAAAAGTATTGGCAATTCTAAATAGGGAAATCATATTAGCAGCCAATAACTATCAAAGCATCACATTGTTCACAGTCAATTAAATAGATCTAATGTTGTTTTGAAGTCATTCTTACATTAGATTTCAGACCAAATATTCAAATTAGCGTAGTAAACAACATAGGGAGCAACCCCAAGGAACTCACACAATAATAATCAGCTACTTTAAACTTTAAGAATACCGTCTTTACTCTTTAAATAATCTTTGCTGCTCGTTTAAACCACTTATTGAAAATGAGCTGAATCAACACAATTGCTGAGCTTTTCTGGGACAATTAAATTTTTTTATGTTCAATCCACTTGAAATTGTTAAAACAATCAAGTTAACTTAATTGATCTGAGTTGGGACAACATGAAGGATTTGTGTGGGACCCAGCATTTTTTTGCAGTGCTGCTAATAACGTTTTACACATACTCACGCACCTTTAGCATTAGAAAACACACCATGACTTTAGTCAAAAAGTGCACACTAATTAAACATCGATGAAATGTTGCGGTAAAGTTGAGTTAAAGTTGATCATATACACTCGCATATTCAGACTTTCTCCTTAATAATAGTTTCAGAAAAGTATTGCCAATTCTAAATAGGGAAATCATATTAGCAGCCAATAACTATCAAAGCACCACATTGTTCACAGTCGATTTAATAGTGCTAATGCTGTTTTGAAGTCATTCTTACATTAGATTTCAGACCAAATATTCAAATTAGCATAGTAAACAACATAGGGATCAACCCCATGGACCCCAAACTCACACATTAATAATCAGCTACTTTAAACTTTAAGAATACCGTCTTTACTCTTTAAATAATCTTTGCTGCTTGTTTAAACCACTTATTTAAAATGGGCTGAATCAACACAATTGCTGAGCTTTTTGGGACAATTTAATTATGTCTATTTACATCTATTTAGCTGTGCCTTTACTGAATGAGCACTGTGCTGCGTCCGACAGATTGCACTATCATGTTTTTCTCTTCTTCTTCATTCTTTTATATCACATTTTACCTGTTTTTATGTTTTGTTTTGTTTTTACGCATTTTTATTATTTGTTTTTATTTTTATTTTAATTGTTTCTTTAATTCTTGTTTATGTAAAGCACTTTGAATTGCCATTGTGTATGAAATGTGCTATATAAATAAACTTGCCTTGCCTTGCCTTGCCTATGTTCAATCTACTTGAATTTGTTAAAACAATCAAGTTAACTTAATTGATCTGAGTTGGGACAACATGAAGGATTTGTGTGGGACCCGGCATTTTTTTGCAGTGCTGCTAATAACGTTTTACACATACTCACGCACCTTTAGCATTAGAAAACACACCATGACTTTAGTCAAAAAGTGCACACTAATTAAACATCGATGAAATGTTTTGGTAAAGTTGAGTTAAAGTTGATTATATACACTCGCATATTCAGACTTTCTCCGAAATAATAGTTTCAGAAAAGTATTGTCAATTCTAAATAGGGAAATCATATTAGCAGCCAATAACTATCAAAGCACCACATTGCTCACAGTCAGTTTAATAGTGCTAATGCTGTTTTGAAGTCATTCTTACATTAGATTTCAGACCAAATATTCAAATTAGCGTAGTAAACAACATAGGGAGCAAACCCAAGGAACCCCAAACTCACACATTAATAATCAGCTACTTTAAACTTTAAGAATACCGTCTTTACTCTTTAAATAATCTTTGCTGCTCGTTTAAACCACTTATTGAAAATGAGCTGAATCAACACAATTGCTGAGCTTTTTGGGACAATTTAATTATGTTCAATCTACTTGAAATTGTTAAAACAATCAAGTTAACTTAATTGATTTGAGTTGGGACAACATGAAGGATTTGTGTGGGACCCAGCATTTTTTTGCAGTGCTGCTAATAACGTTTTACACATACTCACGCACCTTTAGCATTAGAAAACACACCATGACTTTAGTCAACAAGTGCACACTAATTAAACATCGATGAAATGTTTTGGTAAAGTTGAGTTAAAGTTGATTATATACACTCGCATATTCAGACTTTCTCCTTAATAATAGTTTCAGAAAAGTATTGCCAGTTCTAAATAGGGAAATCATATTAGCAGCCAATAACTATCAAAGCACCACATTGCTCACAGTCGATTAAATATTGCTAATGCTGTTTTGAAGTCATTCTTACATTAGATTTCAGACCAAATATTTAAATTAGCGTAGTAAACAACATAGGGATCAACCCCAAGGAACTCACACAATAATAATCAGCTACTTTAAACTTTACAGTCTTAAATAAAAAATAATCTTTGCTGCTTGCTCAAACTACTTATTTAAAATGAGCTCAATCAACACAATTCCTGAGGGTTTTGCTTGGGACAACTTAACTGTTTTATGTTCAATAAATATATTGAAAATATAGAAATCATATGTGCAACCAATGACTATAGTACAACAACCCCATGTAAGAATGACGTCAAAACAACATTAGCACTATTTAAATGACTGTGAACAATGTTGATAGTCTTTGGCTGCTAATATGATTTCCCTATTTGCTATACTTTTCAGGAAACTATATTATTAGGGAGAAAGTCTGAATGTGTGAATATATAACCAACTAGATCTCAATAATGGTACTGAATATTCAAAATAGCTTAGTAAACAATATAGGGAGCGTGTCACAAGTTGCCACTGAACAAATGAGTCAATATCAAACCAACTTTACCTCAATTTTGACATGGTAAACAATATAGGGAGCGTTACAATGAATGAATATATGTGTAAACAAAACCAACTTTACCTTATTTACCTCAATCTCCTTGAGGTCTTTCTGAATCTTGCTTTCTTCAATGGTCTTCACGTCTTTTTCTCCTTCGGTGTGTTTTTCTGGAGGAGATCCATTCACCTGAATCTTCTTATCCTCCACCTCTGTGTATTTTGGCCTGTTCTCCTCTATTTTCTCCTCTTTGGGTATTTCAGAAGTCATACTGCATGCTGGCAGCTCAGCTGTCAGCACCATGGCGCTCATGTCTGTCTCTTCGGGTTTGAGTCTGAAGTCTAAACTTGCAGCCAAACCCAAAGTTTAATAGGCGAGTGTAAGCCACGCCCCTCTGAAACTGGATTTCCTCATACTGATACAGCCTGTGGCGGTGGGCGGGGTTAAATTGTGGTATGGGCGGGGTTGTTATGCAAATCATACAGACATGTGGTTTCTGTTATGGTAGTGTTTTAGGGTTGGTGATTTGATTACGCAAAAACTGATATGGTTTTCGTGCCATAGTGGTTGTAGTTGATTTACTCATCCACAAACCTGTTTGACTGACAAGAAATGAGTCTTATCAAGCGTATTCTTCTACAAATATAGATTAGGATAGCCTAGGTGTTTATGTTGTAATAAATAAATGCCTTGAGTAATTATAACTGTAGTAAATGTAGTTTTAAGTAAAATAAATATCAGATTATGTTAAACGAGTGCCGTACAGCTGATGACATTAATTGTAGATGAGGATTTTTAGATGAAGATACAGATATTTTGGATAAAGGTCAGGGCTGCCATCTGCTGGACATAGAGAAACGCTGCATGATTAAAAATAAAAGTTAAAGGGCACCTAGGTTACCCCTTTTTTCAGATTTCATATAAGTCTTTTGCGTCTCTAGAATGTGTATATAAAGTTTCAGATCAAAATACCCATCAGATTTTTCATTATACCTTTTACAAGATGCTGTTTTATACTGATTTCCAGCAGGGAGTGGTTTTGTCGTACTGCGCCTAAATAAATGCAGTAAAAATAAACTAGGGTTGGCATAATTACAGCTAAAAACATGATCTTACTTAATTGGAAACCTCCAAAGGCTATCTTTTATAAGAAATTATTGAATGAGCTGCTTTATGTCATTGAAATGGAACAACTAGGTCTTGAAACTTCACACACACACAAAAAAAGCTGAAACCACATGGGGACCTATCTTAAAACTTTTGGGAATTTAGCATTTTACGTTTGTAAATTTTCATCTCTAACCTACTGTATATATTCATGACACTGACTTTGTAACAATGTCAATATTGTCATCTTGAAAAAAAAATGTTCATGCTACATATGTCGTGTGTGTTAACTAAAAAACTAAACAAACACATTAACAATATATAGTGATACCTGTCTCCAAATATATAGATAAACTCAATTTTAAAAAATATACTATAATATAAAATATACATTAAAAAAGCCCTTTCTGCACATTAACAGTTTATATTGATATCTGTCTCCAATAAATGAATACATTTTAAATATTATTTATTTATAATTTTATAATACAATACTATAACACATTTAACAAGCAGAAAACATTGTAAATATATTATATTAAAACAAGTTTAATAATTTTAATAAACATATTTTAAATGTTGACATTATTTGTATTATCATTAATTTTTCTTTGGCTTAGTCGCTTTATTTATCAGGATTCACCACAGTGAAATGAATCACCAACTTATCCAGCATATGTTTTACACAGCGGATGGCCTTCAAGCTGCAACCCAGTACTGGCAAACACCTATACAATCACATTCACGCACTACAGCCAATTTAGTTTCTTTAATTCCCCTATAGCACATGTGTTTGGACTCTGGGCGAAACCCACGCCAACACTGGGAGAACATGCAAACTCCACACAGAAATGCCGACTGACCCGGCCGAGGCTCGAACCAGCAACCTTCTTACTGTGAGGCGATCATGCTACCCACTGCACCACCAATAACCAACATTATAACAAAAAAACGTACTGTCCAAGACTCATGGCAGACGAGGTCATAAGGAGCGACATTTCTATGTCTATTTCTATTTGAACCAGCAACCTCCTTGCTGTGAGACCATAGTGCTAACCACTGAGCAACCGTGTCACCCTAGAGTAGAATATAAAATCTGCAAATAAATATGCTTTTCAAAACATAAGCAATTTATAGTGATACCAGTCTCCAATATATAGATAAACTTAATTTAAAATATAGGATTTATTTAAACCAATTTATTAAAAAAAAATAAAAAATTATATATATATATATATATATATATATATATATATATATATATATATATATATATATATATATATATACTTATAAAAAACATAATATAAATAGAAAGCATTTTCTGTTTTGTTATTTTGTCATACATATATATAATTTAATTATTATAATTTTTTTTTACCTATGTTATTTAAATGTGTATATATGTATATGTGTATATACATATATAAGAAGTGTGTAGATATGTGCTGTGTCGGCTGCATTGTTGATGTATGCCTAGTTGATGGGGGGGAAAAGGGAAAAAAATCAATAAACATTGGAAAACAACAACAACAACAACAACAACAACAACACACGACACACACAAAAAAGCATTTTCTACACATCAGTAGTTTATACTGATACTTTTAACCTGCCTCCAATAAATATATAAACATATTTTTAAATATTATTTATTAATCATAAAAAAATTATAAAATTTAAAAAGCAGCATATGAATATATTGTATTACAAAAGTTTATAAGTTTTAATAAACAGATTTCAAATGCTGACAATATTCATTCATTTACTTTCCTTCGGCTTAGACTCTTTATTTATCAGGGGTCACCACAGCGGAATGAATCGCCAACTTATCCAGCATATGTTTTACACAGCGGATGCCCTTCCAGCTGCAAC